ATCAACCTCCACAGCCCAAACAGACACCCTGTTCAAAGCTCTAAAGGATGAAATGGTCACCACCCTAAATCAGCAGCACATACCCATCTAGGTCAAATAAGCCAAGGGTAGTAGGCTTAAGGGACAATAACTTCTTTTGATGGTTGATATAAAATCAATTTTATCTTGTTTGTTTTTGTTGTAAATCAAATTCATAACTTAACAAACAACCAGAAGTTGTACATTTTTGCAAGCACCTTCTGATTCTCTTTATAAACTTTGCAAAACATTCAATTTTCTTTTTCTGTTTCTTGTACTTCAGTCCTTTGAGGGATTTTCTCAGTGCATACTCCTCTCTGATATACTCATTCTTATTAGCAACTGGACAAGCTTCTTGTCTCCTCACTAAACCATTATAATCATTTCAAGTAAAATTCAGAACTACAGGGTAATTTTTGTACAAACAATTTCAAGGAAATACTTGAAACCGAAGTCACTATATAATACAAAACTACTAAATACAGTACTGTTGTTGGAAATTTATTGATTATCACTCGAATGATATTCCAGTGAAGGTTCAGTAAAACCCTCCCAGCCTTCTAATATTAAAAATAGCTTATACTGACAGACCCAAAATATGTGAAGCAAAGTGACTGGAAAATGTACCCCGGCTTTTACTAAATTGGCCCTGTATTCTGTATTTTCGTCCATAAATATTTGTTGTGGCTCTCGGTTTACAAACAAACTTACGAACAGCGAAGTAGAAAATTGGTTTAATGAACATTCCCATATGACTGTTGCAAGACTCATACTAATATAGTGAGCTCGTAGCATATGTTTAGGATAAGGAAGAGAGTTCTTAATACCACTGTAGGTGGAAAAAGATAAGAGATGGGCATGGATACTAGGCTGTTTACTCGAAAATTCACGAAGCTTATAAAAAACTGAACTTCCCGAGATGCCGAATCACGCCAAGTGTAGTCATGCATGAACTGTTCATACATCACGCCTCCTGATGTCCCAAAATTCCATTAAAAATGTTCTCGAAAACCTTTTCTTGATGTTTGGACGCGGGAAAACTCAAAACCGAGCAAAAACTCATCGTCCCTCCATTTCTGCACTAGCAGCTAAATACAGGAATTGCACCGACCTGTGATTGGAAGATAAAAATAGTATGTCAGTGGTGATGACGTGACAATTCGTTACGTTAGCCGTTTCAAGAGTAACGGTTTTTACACGGAAAAGACAGTCCACAGGAAAATACAATATAATATTAAATTTTTCTCAAAGACAAACAGTGCAATATTCTTCTGAAGTTGGCTGACTCGCTAAGAGTCAATGTCTTATCGAAGTTGAAGTTCATTTGTCGCAAATCGGATAACTTCACTGAGTGATTCTGAGATGAAACCTTTTGTCTGCATCCACATTGACCTTAGATTTTACCACTTACATATTGAAGAAAAGCCATAAACAGAGCTTCAATGTCCACGTACACCCGACTGAACCTCGGTGCGATTCCTGCAGATACCGCTGTTCATACTAAATGCAGGAATTGCACCGGACGCGTTCTCGTCCCCAGAGTCACTCTAAGTTGTAACAAAAGAGCACGTGACCAAGAAAGACGATATTAATTTATGGCTAAATTTCTCGTTTGTATATATGTTAATGAAAATTTAGCCGTTAATTAATGGCTAAATTTTTCGTTTGTATAAATAGTTAATGAAAATTTCTTATTAATAGTTAATGAAAATTTAGCCGTTAATTAATGGCTAAATTTGTGTTTAGTTAAGAGTAAAATTTAGCCGTTAATTAATGGCTAAATTCTCGGTTTGTAGAATATACAAAGTGACTTTATGGCTAAATTTTTCTTATAACTACAGTGTGAATTTATTGCAAATTTTGCCATTGTCTAAACACCGCTACAGCTCGCACTGCAAAAGTGAGAACCGGCTGGCCGAATATGTGATTTTGGAAATTTTTTTAACGGTTTAGCTAAAAGTCCACACGCGTGCTTCGATCGTCCTGAGTGCAATTTGTGTTGCAAAATTGTGAAATACTCCTGTCCGAGGTCTGTAAGATAAAAACAGTACCTCATAGTACTGTTTCACCTAAGATATGATGTATAAAAAGTATAAAAGGTTGGTTTACACGCACCCAGAGTTGTTGGCAAGATGTTGTAAAGTAAACTTGTCGAACGCAAAAAAATTCGGCCTGATTTTTTTTCCGGGCCTAATTAATTTTACAGTGATCAAGAGCCATTATGGCTCTTAAATGTGATCGAAGACGATTGCTCTTTTTGGGTGTACATATGAGGCTATCAACTCGATGTAAGATTTTGTTCACTCTTGGGCTGTTTGCAAATTATTTTCCTCTAAAGTCACTTAGCCTTTCCCTCAAAAGTCACATGAATGTGCTATGTGCTCTAAAGTTAACTGAACTGTGGAATACAAGTTTATTGTTTGATTTAAATTATAAATATATTAATGGGAGCCTCCCTTTTAGCCCTGGCTAAATCTATATATTAGAACTATAGAATACCAGTCTATTTAAAATGTTCAAAAAATACCAAGGCAAGCACCG